TTTCTGACTCATAATCGGGAACCGCGATTGGCAACCGATCATGGTCAGTAAAAATGAACGTTAAAACAATCGTTTCCTTCATTATCTCGGAAAAGCTTAGCGTTTAAATAGCTCACTTCTTGAAACCATTTCAAATTTATGATTTCTAGCCATTTCTGACTGACAGTTGGGAACCTCGATTGGCAACCGATCATGTTCAGAGAAACTGGGCGTTAAAACGATCAGCTTGTTTACTATATCGAAAAAACTTAGCGTTTAAATGGCATACTTCTTGAAACCATTTCACATTAACAATTTTCTATCGTTTCTGACTCACAATCGGGAACCGCGATTCGCAACGTATCACGTCCAGACAAACTGAACGTCAAGGTGATTCTTATTCCACTACGCTGTAAATCTCTAACATTTAAACGGTTCATTTCCTTAAACAGTTAGAATTTAGTTTTAATTCCTATTTTACACTCATAGTCGGGACCGCGATGAAGAATAGATCATGGTCGGAAAAATTGGACATTAACATTATGTCTTTTAAACTAAGCTGAGGCTCTTTAATGTTTAAACCCTCTTCTCTTCAGAACCGGTTCACATTTACCATTCCTTCTTGACTTCAGCTCATAGTTGGGATCCGTGAATATCAGTCGCAATTAGCTGCCTTTCTACATTGTTAAGACGTAAACAGGAGTATTTTCTAAGATGTTTTAAGATGGAAGAGATCCATGCGTACGACCATGCATGAATTCAACTGTCTCAAGCTCATAAAACATAGGATACTGTACATCACGAAATGAAGCGAAACTAACTGAATGTTAAAATGCTCAAGAGTAACGCTTGAAATCGAAACAGACGTTTCAAATATTTTGCAGAATACAACTCAATTAGAAAAATAGAAGGGAGATCCTGTGTGACATATGAAATTCTACTAAAAAATGGGAGCTCAGAACAGTTGCATCAAGTGTACCTCTGAGGTTCGTCATAACTCATGTTGTAAAGACACATCCGACGGTAGGACACAGGAAAAAATCTATAGAACGATAGTATTTTACAAGAATCGAAAGAGAACAAAAGAGAAAAGATTTCTTAGAGGCTGATTCTGCTTACGATTCCACCTAAGCTTCAAACATCTGATGTGTAACTTATGTGATCAGGCAACAGTACAAACATTCATCGGCTTCTTCATACGGGTAGTGCAAGTAAAACTCACTCAAAAAGGACGGGAGATTCTCACATGAAAACTCACCGTCATCTGTAACAGGAGACGTTAAACGAATCATTAGACGAATTTTGTCTATTATAACCTCAATATTCCAACAGGATACAACTGATTGCAGAAAATAAATATCAGATGAGGTGAAAGATAACTTTAATGGATAGAACTTAGATTTTTCAGATCAATGCATGCAGTGTTATCTACGGGGCTTGAGAGCAGACAAAAAGGATAATAACAAATTGAAAAATCAAAAAACAACTCATCATTACTTGTTTTCCAAGATGCACTTGAATCGTACATATAATTTTGAATTTCTATTCACATTTTTGAGTTCAACACAACATTAAGATTAATATCAATGCAACCTAGAACGACACATAAAAATGAAAATCAGCACTCATTCGTATGCAATTGAACTCACCATTATTTATCCGAAAACAAGAACCAAAGACAACCAATATGAAATCTCTTTGCAACTAATGCCAATAAACCAAACTAGTACAGCTGTACTCCACTAATTAAACCTAATGAAGAAATATATAATTTTATTTATGAAACTCAATCAAACCCACCGTTTCTGATTCTGACACACTAATCTAAAACAATAGATATCAACATTGTTTCCAATTAATTCATGTATATCGAACTCACCATGATTTATTCTGTAGCAAAAAACTAAAAAACAAACGTCATGAATAGTGATACTCATTAATTGTTTGGAACTAACATCACCATTATTTCTTTTATCATCTGAAGCTGAAACAAGAGACACACATATAAAATCTAACAACTAAGTTTAAATCTAACTTACCAGTTTTTTTTTACTTTCTCACATGAATCTAAAACAAGAGAAATCACTGCTTTCTCTTCTTAGTAAGATTATATCGAACTCACCATTATCTTTATACCACAACAACCTAAAAAAGAGATATGAATAATGGTTTTTTTTCTCTTAATTAATTAATATCAAACTTACCTGTATTCGTTTTATCATGCGAATCTCAAAAAACAAGATATAAATGATACTTTAAGTTTATAGACTTAAATGGAACTCACCATTTTTTATTCTATGCATTATTCTATAACAAGAAAAATGAGTATTGTTTTTTATTACTTAATTTATATTGAACTCACCATAATTTATTGCATCGCAAAAAACCTAAAAATAGATATGAAAGATGACTTCTACTAGTTGATCAATATCGCACTTACTTACTGTCATTTGCTCATGTGAACCTGAAAAAAGAGACAAATATAATTTCTGCCTTCTAAATTTAAATCAAACTCATCATTTTATATCATATCAAATGAATCTAAAACAAGAGAAATGAATATTCTTTCTTATTCCCTCGACTGAATGGAGGGTCATATGAAAAAAATAGTTTGCTTGTCACTGGTCAAAAGAACATCGGGGTCAAAAAAACATCCTCTTAAAGATCAATGCTCGGATATCTTCGATACAGTCAATGTCCCTAATAACAACACTAAAAAACTTTTCTTCCTTATTCGACTCGGTTCTCAGCTATTTTAAACTCGACTGAAAATACTTTTATATATGTATAATCTATGGAGTCTCCTCTTCCAAATGGTATAACAGTGGTCTTTCTCTGAAATGTAATGGCGGAGAAATCAGCGGTCTACGATAACGAACTGCTACTGTTGTTATTAGGGACAGTTTCCCTAATACCAACACTCAGCTATTTTTTGTCCCTAGTAACAATACTTAAGCAAAATTTAAGCCAAATCAGACTTTTTAAGAGAAAAAACTTTTTTTCACGCGTTTTCTTTGGAAAACAAGCAGAGACTCCGCTGACAACTTTGTAGAGCATGTCAAACTCTATCTAGATCTAACGGTTCATGAGAAAAAAAATTTCCTTTAATGAGATACAAAATCTAAAAGGAACATGTCTAACAGTGTTCAAAAAATAGCAGTAGTGTAGAAGCCGTTAAGTCGTTTCAACTATTCAACTTTCAATATTCAACTTTCAACTATTCAACTTTCAACTATTCAACTATTCAACTTTCAACTATTCAACTATTCAACTTTCAACTATTCAACTATTCAACTATTCAACTATTCAACTATTTAACTTTCAACTATTCAACTTTCAACTTTTCAACTATCGACTATTCAACTATTCAAACCCTTCGTGGCACCCACATCGAGATAGACGTGGTGTGACACCCTTCGCGGCACCCACACCGAGATAGACGTGGTGTGACACCCTTCGCGGCACCCACACCGAGATAGACGTGGTGTGACA